GATAATTAACAATTTATAACTGATAAAAGGAGAAGATTGTAGAAGATTGAGTTTTGGTAATGTACTCTTCTAGTATAGCTTTTCTTTTGGAACAGCCCGTGTACTCGAAGGTCGAGTTTTGCCAATACCGAGTTCAAAAGACAGTCAGTACGAAAGGCGTGTTGGTAAGGGGATATTTTCATTGTTTCCAGTTAAATCACTTTCTTTGGTTTTAATTTTAGACAACTGTAAATCACATTTGGTTTGTTGATATTTGTTTTCATTATTTAGAATGTTTTCAAACAATTCTTTGAAATTTAATCTGAAAATTAACATTATGTGTTATGAATGCCACCTTTATGCACTAGAACATTTTCTGTCAAAAATACATGCCCCCTCCCCCCAAATTATCTTCCGCAGCAAACTTCATCCTCTCCAGAATTTATTTATTTAATAGCAATTTATTTTTAAAGTTGAATAATTGCATTCAACATATCTAATTAACCCCTAAACATATTAAGTGAATATATTTCCACCATATTGGTATAACTATCAAGGTCTACATTAGGTTTTGGTGGTCAGTGGTCCTTGTTTCGAAGGTTCTACATAAGGTTTTGGTGGTCATGCAGTGGTCCTTGTTTCGAAGGCTCCAATCTCACACTTGACCACATACATGCACTTTTGAAATAAAGAGCTTGTGAACGCGTTATTTTTGTCAATACCTCGGCAAACTCAGTGTATATTTAACAGCATAGCTAACCACACGTTTCGTATCTGATTAGATTTCAGTGGTCATCTGTCATACAAATTTTCAATTTTCTCTTTCATACATCTTTGTGAAAATTTTAAAAGCTGCGCCCAGATCTGATGTACATGTATATTGTTGGCTGGCATAGAACACATGACATCTGTAATAATATGTTGTTATTATATGGATGTTAAAAATGTAAAAATCTTTAATCGAAAATAGGGTCACAACTTTGATAATATGGAATTCATTTTATTATCACATTTAGTTTTTGTCACTTTTTTTGGAATATCACATTTTTCTTTCTGAGTCTCACTTTTTCTTCGAATACTGTTTCACCCCTTAGTGTGATTGGTTAATGTCACTTCCAACACTGTTTCACCCCTTAGTGAGATTGGTTAATGTCACTTGGAACACTGTTTCGCCCCTTAGTGTGATTGGTTAATGTCACTTCCAACACTGCTACACCCCTTAGTGTGATTGGTTAATGTCACTTCGAACACTGTTTCACCCCTTAGTGTGATTGGTCAATGTCACTTCGAACACTGTTTCACCCCTTAGTGTGATTGGTTAATGTCACTCACTTTAATGTGACCTCAGCTTTATATTGCTTCATTCTGACTGTCACAGAAAAAGAACAAAAGTTCATGGCACATGTAGTATAAAAACCTGGCGTTTCCTTTCAGTTCTATATATATTGACCATTAGCTAGGGTTAAGTTTGGTGTCAGAGGTTAACTCACTTAATTACAGCTAATTGTCACCTTATCTTAAAATATAAACTGTATTTATTATTTTTTTAACAACAATTATGAAACAATTTTTTACAACTTACGTTATACTAATCATTCTTGTTTGGGGGGGGGGGTATCTTATTGTGGGAGGAAACCGGAGTACCCAGAGAAAACCCATGTGGTTAGACAGGTGACCCCATCACTTTTCATGACCGATTGGGGAATCGAACCTAGCCACCTTGGTAAAAGGCAAGTGTGCTATCATCCACTGCGCCACAGGACCACCTAATCTTACAGATGTTTCGTTATACGTCACTGCCAGACTAAACACACCTTGTCATGAATGAGGTCTACAAAAACAGTTTCTGTGAACAAAACAGGATTAATAAGAGCCCTGCATTGATAAAAGATGTCGAACAACATGTTGATAACACCTTTCGATAATACCATGTAAGAGTTGATTAATTCTCAACATTTCCATTATTGAAAATTCAAGTGATAAAAATGTGGCCTCAACAAGAGACTTCGCTTTTCACCCCTGAAGACACATTTGAACTCTTCCAATTCAAAGGTTGGAATAGTTCATTATGACATTTCAGGGGTGAAATCCATAACAACCATGTATTTTTATAAGATGTTCCTAGAACACAACTCAATCAATTCTAATCATGATTAGAATTGATTGAGTTGTGTTCTAGGAACATCTTATAAAAATACATGGTTGTTATGGATTTCACCCCTGAAATGTCATAATGAACTATTCCAACCTTTGAATTGGAAGAGTTCAAATGTGTCTTCAGGGGTGAATGAGGTAAATTAAAGGTGTTGTAATTTATCAGGAACTTTGCCAAGTGACCTGTATTGAATCAACAGTTAAAAGTTTTACAAACATCACAATTCTTTTTTTGATACACTAAAAAAAATGAATAATTAAATGCTGTTTTTTCAATATTTTAAAGAAAAGAAATCCTTTAAATTTAAATCCTTGGCCCCAGCTCATCATTAATGGAAAGTTATCTAAGGGTTTGGAAGCTGAAGAATGTCAGTTAAACACTATAATCTTCTGATGTCAAAATTTTGCTGAATTCACATTTTTCTCTGACATGTAATATATAGCAGATGAGTGCACTGTATTACCAACTTTATAATCGACCGGGGTTTGATTCCACGATCGGACGTGAAAAGGTTGGGGTCAACTGCCCGACCATGTGGGTTTTCTCCGGGTACTCCGGTTTCCTCCCACACTAAGATCCCCGCGCGATAACATCCGGGCTAACAAAAGTGATTAGTATAAGTTGAAATAACTTGTTTCATAATTGTTGTTAAATAAATAAAGTTTATTTTAAACTTTATAAAATACTGATTAGCACCTGTATGCGACTTTATATTAGAGTTCAGTTATAGCTCCTTGATTTGATTTCTATTGTTTTGAGATATGACTGCAGGTATGTTTTTCAAATTTATAATATTCAGTTACTAAATATGCAATAAACTTTCAAAAGACATTTGGACAAATAATTCAGTTATTTATCCACCTAGAGAAGGAATGGACGAACAAGGCATTGATCAGTATCAATAGTGCTATTTAGTGATGTTCTCATTTACTATGTGATATTGATGTATATTTGTACAGCCCTAGAAAAATGATTTGTTATATTCTGCAAGTATTTAGTTAATCCTGTTAGTAATTGCTGGTGTTATGAAAAACATCTGTTTCGACGAACATAGTATTTGTATTCCATTGTTTATTTCATTCTCTTCAAATTTGATTCAGAGATGATACATGTATGGGATTGAACAGGCTAGGGCTTTTATTGTCTCTCTCCTGAAACATTCCATAAATATTTTTCCATTTTACAATGAAAAGAAGGTTTTGCTCTAAATTTGAAATAATGGCAGAACAAAAATATTTATGAATTAATTTTCTGAGCTTTAGCTTGTTAAAGCTGAAGAATATATATATTGTGATCTAGAATTAAAAAAAAAAATCAATAAATGAATCGGCAAAGAACAATTACATATAATTGCATTGCTGTAAACTTCCTGATGTCCTAGCTGTAGCAACACTGTCATAGACAGTAGAATGATCTTATTACCCTTGATGTTGGTAAAGTCCATTTTACCTGTATGTTGGGTAAAGTCCAGGCCCCTGTATCTTGGTGTAGTCCAGTTCTCTAGTTGTTGATAATGCCCATTTCACCTGTATGTTGGGTGAAGTCCAGGCCCCTGTATCTTGGTGTATTCCAGTTCTCTAGTTGTTGATAATGTCCATGTTACCTGTATGTTGGGTGAAGTCCAGTTTCCCTGTATCTTGGTGTAGTCCAGTTATCTAGTTGTTGGTAAAGTCCAGTTTACCTGTATGTTGGGTGAAGTCCAGGCCCCTGTATCTTGGTATAATCCTGTTCTCTAGTTGTTGATAATGTCCATTTTTCCTGTATGTTGGGTGAAGTCCAGTTTCCCTGTATCTTGGTGTAGTCAGTTCTCTAGTTGTTGATAATGCCCATTTTACCTGTATGTTGGGTGAAGTCCAGTTTACCTGTATGTTGGGTAAAGTCCTGGCCCCTGTATCTTGGTATAATCCTGTTCTCTAGTTGTTGATGATGTCCATTTTACCTGTATGTTGGGTGAAGTCCAGGCCCCTGTATCTTGGTATAGTCCAGTTTTCTAGTTGTTGATAACGTCCATTTTACCTGTATGTTGGGTGAAGTCCAGTTTCCCTGTATCTTGGTGTAGTCCAGTTCTCTAGTTGTTGATAATGCCCATTTTACCTGTATGTTGGGTGAAGTCCAGTTTACCTGTATGTTGGGTAAAGTCCTGGCCCCTGTATCTTGGTGTAGTCCAGTTCTCTAGTTGTTGGTAAAGTCCATTTTACCTGTATGTTGGGTGAAGTCCAGGCACCTGTATCTTGGTGTAGTCCAGTTATCTAGTTGTTGGTAAAGTCCAGTTTACCTGTATGTTGGGTAAAGTCCTGGCCCCTGTATCTTGGTATAATCCTGTTCTCTAGTTGTTGATAATGTCCATTTTACCTGTATGTTGGGTGAGGTCCAGGCCCCTGTATCTTGGTTTAGTCCAGTTCTCTAGTTGTTGGTAAAGTCCAGTTTACCTGTATGTTGGGTAAAGTCCTGGCCCCTGTATCTTGGCATAATCCTGTTCTTTAGTTGTTGATAATGCCCATTTTCCCTGTATGTTGGGTGAAGTCCAGTTTACCTGTATGTTGGGTAAAGTCCTGGCCCCTGTATCTTGGTGTAGTCCAGTTCTCTAGTTGTTGATAACGTCCATTTTACCTGTATGTTGGGTTAAGTCCAGGCCCCTGTATCTTGGTGTAGTCCATTTCTCTAGTTGTTGATAATGCCCATTTTACCTGTATGTTGGGTGAAGTCCAGGCCCCTGTATCTTGGTGTAGTCCAGTTCTCTAGTTGTTGATAACGTCCATTTTACCTGTATGTTAGTAAGGTCTAGTTTCCCTGTAAGTTAAGTGATTGACTCCATTTTCCTTGTAAGTTGCTTCTGTTTCAAAGTTTAATGTATTTTTTGTTACAGATTTGATACAAGGGAAGGTAGAACAGTGTGATCTCACAACACAGGAGAAACAGTTGTACCCACACTGTAATACGAAAATAGAAGTAAGTACAAAATACTGGTCCATCGCTGTTTACTTCTCTACATGTATGCAGCTGTGTAGACTAGAACAGTGTGATCTCACAACACAGGAGAAGTTGCTGTTCCCTAGACAACTTTAAGACATAGATGCAAGTACAGATTGCTGATATATCACTTCTTACTTCACATCATTTGTGCAGCTGTGTAAACTATAAGACAGTAAGTGTTTAGGACAGAACACGAAAAATCACCCCTTTTTTTTTAAACAAAATGAGTTGGGGCATGTTTTTTGTAGACAATATGCAAATTAATGAAATTCTGCGATGACATTTTCTATTCTTCTTTGACATTTTCAGTGGATGAAAGCAATGTGGAAATCTGATCCCTGTTATCAGTCGTATGGGGTGGACGGATCCATCTGTTCATTTGTGATGTATTTAAGTGAGGTAAGTTCATCGGTCAACGGCAGATGTTCAATGTCACGATAAGGTCATGACAAATTGTTTTTAAGGTCAAGGTCACATGGTGAAGCTAATCTGATTGTCCCACTAGCCAGCCACTACTAGTTTGATTGTCTTAATTGTCACTATAATCCATCCGATTATATATAAACTATCCTACTATCCGGACACTATTGATCTGAATGTTCCATTGCAGCCAACATGAAGCCGGTTTATCCTTCTATTCGACATCACTAGTCCCCTTTTCCAACTATCGCCACCACAAAACTGGTTGTCCCTCTATATATCCTTTGAGACGACCTACATTCTAGGTTGTGATAAAGCAGTATAGAAGAACCTCAAATTATTATTAATTTTGTAAGTTGTTTTGTCTATTTGTAGTTGATGTTTTTTACAACTGATGCTTTGTCTGTGGTTGTGATTTACAGATTGAAGGGTGGTGTCCTACCAAGGCCTGGCGGGGAAACATTAAACCCCCCAAGGAGGACATGTCAAAGGTCAAATTTGTGAGTGTCGTTACAGAAATGAGAAATGACGAGCCCCGAGAGGAGGTCAAGTCTGAAATAAATTTATAATTTTGTTTTAGACATGGAAAAAAAAAATCTGCCAAGGCCAATATGTCTATATTTCAATTTTCAAGCTCTTTATTAAGCAAAAAACAATGCAACATAATGACACATACCGCATTTATATGAAACTTGAGCGACACGTTGAAGATAAGACTTAAAATTGTTTTACAGGCTAATGTTACAACAGATTTACAAGCATTAATGAAAATTCTGGTGGATCCAAACGAGCGCCAGAGTTACGCATGGATTAGGATGAGGATACGTCGCCTCTGGGACAAGTGGACGGGGGGCATCACAAGACTCACCAAGAAACAAAACCTTGAGGGCAGGCGTCGCAAAAAGGTAATACGGCTTTGATAGTCTATGTAGGCTCATCATATATCACTCGTCTATGTAGGCTCGTCATATATCACTCGTCTATGTAGGCTCATCCTATATCACTCGTCTATGTAGGCTCATCCTATATCACTCGTCTATGTAGGCTCATCCTATATCACTCGTCTATGTAGGCTCATCCTATATCACTCGTCTATGTAGGCTCATCATAGATCACTCGTCTATGTAGGCTCATCATATGTCACTAGTCGATGTAGGCTCATCATATATCACTCGTCTATGCAGGCTCATCATATATCACTAGTCTATGTAGGCTCATCATATATCACTAGTCTACGTAGGCTCATCATATATCACTCGTCTATGTATGCTCATCATATATCACTCGTCTCTGTAGGCTCATCATATGTCACTAGTCTAGGTAGGCGCATCATATGTCACTCGTCTATGTAGGCTCATCATATATCATTCGTCTATGTAGGCTCATCATATATCATTCGTCTATGTAGGCTCATCATATATCACTTGTCTATGTAGGCTCATCATATATCACTCGCCTATGTAGGCTCATCATATATCACTCGCCTATGTAGGCTCATCATATGTCACTCTTCTATGTAGTCTCATCATATATCACTCGTCTATGTAGGCTGATCATATATCACTCGGCTATGTAGGCTCATCATATATCACTCGCCTATGTAGGCTCATCATATATCACTCGCCTATGTAGGCTCATCATATGTCACTAGTCGATGTAGGCTCATCATATGTCACTCGTCTATGTATGCTCATCATATATCACTCGTCTCTGTAGGCTCATCATATGTCACTAGTCTAGGTAGGCGCATCATATGTCACTCGTCTATGTAGGCTCAGCATATATCTCTCGTCTATGTAGGCTCATCATATGTCACTATTCTATGTAGGCTCATCATATGTCACTCTTCTATGTAGGCTCATCATATATCGCTCGTCTATGTAGGCTCATCATATAGCACTCGTCTATGTAGGCTCATCATATGTCACTCGTCTATTTAGGCTCATCATATGTCACTCTTCTATGTAGTCTCATCATATATCACTCGTCTATGTAGGCTCATTATATGTCACTCTTCTATGTAGGCTCATCATATATGACTCGTCTATGTAGGCTCATCATATATCTCTAGTCTATGTAGGCTCATCATATATCACTCTTCTATGTAGGCTCATCATATATCATTCGTCTATGTAGGCTCATCATATATCATTCGTCTATGTAGGCTCATCATATATCACTAGTCTATGTAGGCTCATCATATATCACTCGTGTTATCTTCCTGCTTATAAGGTACCGGTGCCTCCTTTTTAACCAGGAAAATGTGATGGCATGACAGCTATTGGGAATTATAAACATCAATTCAAATAAAACAAGACAGGATTACTTGTGATAAACTTTTTGTCAATATGTCTTAAAATTTTACATAAAAATGTAGTTGATTCATAACACTTTTGCAAGTTTTAGCCTGACATTTTTCAGATAGTGGGGTATTCAAATTGACCTTTTTCTGTGGTCCGTCCATCTGTAGTTCCGTCTGTCTGTCCTTAAACAATTTTTGTTAGCGCTATTTCTCAGAAAGTACTGGAGGGATGTTTCTCAAATTTCACATGAAGCTTCTCCATGGCCCTTAGCTATGCAAATTCATTCAGACAGCAATCTTGAACTTTGACTATTGATATCAAAGTTTTACTTTTTACACAAACAATGTACATATTAAATGTGTCGCAACGTTTCAAGACTGACTGGGCCATGACTGAGTGAACAATTTCTATTATTTACCTGTACAACGATGTGACGAAATTGTATATTATTCATGTCACTCGACCCGAGACGTTTCGCCTATCGATAGGGAGCATATACCCCCCCTCCTCACCTGACCTTCAGCTGATGTCCCCCCTCCTCTCTGTTCATGTTCTGAGTTTTCCTGATTTTGATTGCTTCTTTGATTTGTCTTGTTAGCTCACCTGGCACCTGGGCCTTTTGTTTTTTTGTGTTGTTCCCTTTCAACTATCTTGGCATTGTCCCAGTCGACAATGTGATTTTGGGCGTTAGCGTGATCTGTTCATGCCAATTTATTGTACTGGGTGGCGGGTGTTTTGCGTGTGGATCTGGTGAATGTGATGTTGCTCATTTTCTCTATGTCCTTTTGATATTCCTTCAGACGTGTACCAAATTTCCTCCCAGTTTCACCTGTATATGATCATGACTGCTGACAATGTTTTGCATGGAATTTGGTATACAATTTCTGTTTTGTCTCAAATGTCAATCTTGTCTTTAGGGTGCACCAGTAACTGTCTGATGGTTGTCAGTGGTCTTATTGGGGTGCTGAAATGGTGTTCCTCATCACCCGTGCAAACACCTCAGATGTTCCCTTCACGTAGGGTATAGTTACCCAGCCTTTGCTTTTGGTTTAGCTCTCATTCCTTTTCTTCTGTCTCGGTTTTCTATTTCTGTCTTTTCTTTTACTCTTTTCACCTTATTTATTGTGATGATCTTGAAACGTTGCGACATGATTAATATGTACATTGTTTGTGTAAATGTAAAACTTTGATATCACACATTTCCAAACTGATGAATCTTATTGTAGATATTTGACTATTCAATTCTGTTATCACTCATTCAATGTATTACAGAATTTCTAATTAAACCCCTCATACAAACGCCTTATAACTGGTGTAGGTAAACCAGTTTGTAGTCTGTAAAGTGACGACCTTTCTGTCGCTAATTGTGACAGAGCGAAAGTACATACAGGAAAGACAAGAAAATTCAAATTGAGTCTTGATATTAAGCCGCTGTGTTTTGATTTCAGATACTAGTCCATCTAGGGCTGCTGTCCAAACAGTCTGGCTGGGGCTTTGCTGAAAATCAGTTCAAAGGTAACAAAACAGCTATCATTTCATAAAACTTCAGCAATCTAGCAATATATAGTGTTGTAGATGTTATATAGTGTTGTAGGTGTTATATAGTGTTGTAGATGTTATATAGTGTCGTAGATGTTATATTTTGTTGTATATGTTATATTTTGTTGTAGGTGTTATAAAGTGTCGTAGATGGTCATAAAGTGTCGTAGGTGTTATATAGTGTTGTAGGTGTTATATAGTGTTGTAGATGGTATATAGTGTCGTAGGTGTTATATAGTGTTGTAGATGTTATATAGTGACGTAGCCCTTAGAGGAGGCCCATTAGGGGACCTTTATATTGGATAACTACTGTTATTTTACAGGAGGCCTATTAGGGGACCTTCCTGTTGGATAACTATTGTTGTGTTGCCTGCGAAAAGCTGGTCACACATAGGTATTGCTTTGTCGGCGGCTTCGTCGTCGTCGTCATCCGAACAGAGGTTTTCGTGCGATAACTTGAGTTTTCTTGGGCCGATCAAACTCAAACTTTATGCAGTGCTTCCTTACCAAAAGTGCTTGATTGCGATTGCTTTTCAGGTTAGAAGGTCAAAGGTCAAGGTCACTGTTACTATAAATAGAAAATCTGTTTTCGTGCAATAACTTTAGTGTCCTTGGGCCGATCAAACTCAAACTTCATGCAGTGCTTCCTTACCAAAAGTGCTTGCTTGGGATTGCTTTTCAGGTCCGAAGGTCAAAGGTCAAGGTCACTGTTACTATAAATAGAAACTTCACTAAAACTGTATACTGGACGGCTTCGATCTACCACTTGACCCACTGTGTATACCTCTGAAATGCCGTCTTACTCCAAATGTTATTGACAACACTAGCTGTTTAACATCATAATCCACAAGTTTATTCATTTATTTATGGGAAACCATCCGACAAATCATACAAATTAAACTTAGAATTGAGACAATGAGTATCCATAGCAAGTTCCTTAAAACTGATAGTATTCTTCCCAGAATAACAGATTATATAACAAAATGATGCCATCCAAAAACATAATCTATGATTATTGCTTACTTTTAACATTATTTCTTGAAATGAAAAGTTTATCTATTTCTTAGTAATCTCCCAGCTTCCTGCGCAGGCGACACATCCACTTTCGTGGAATTCTTGTTATTTTATAGGAGGCCCATTTAGGGAACTTCTTTTTTGATAACTATTGTTATTTAGAGGAGGCCAATTAAGGGAACTTCATAATTGATAACTACTGTTATTTTAGAGGAGGCCTATTAGGGGACCTTCATATTAGATAACTACTGTTATTTAACTGGAGGCCTATTAGGGGACCTTCATATTAGATAACTACTGTTATTTTACAGGAGGCCTATTAGGGGACCTTCATATTAGATAACTACTGTTATTTAACTGGAGGCCTATTAGGGGACCTTCATACTAAAATTCCTTTGCTATTTTACAGGAGGCCCGTTAGGGGAACTTGTGCAATGGAGTGATCTTCTTTCTACATTGTTTATATTGGGGCACGACCTTATCGTAACTAGTGAAACAGACCAGCTGGCTGGGTAGGTATATCATTTACATGCATGTTTTATTACACCCTCATCAAATTGTTTACTTTTTATATTCCATTTCGTATTTGATTTAGAACTAAAGTGAATTTCTTATTTCCTTTTTCTAGAAATTTCTATATAAATCATAAGAAAACTTACTTATTTTAGAATATGTTCCATTAATTAACATCAGTAGGTCCCTGTATCGGAGACTTAGATGTACTGCATGTAGTAAGCACTGTGTCCGTCTGTCTGTCTACACTTTTGATTCCAGAGATTATCTTGGAATCTTTAAGACTATAGTCTTTCTGAAATTTGACATGGTGATACGCTGTGATAAACAGACGTGCAATGGGGTTTAAAGAGTTTCTACGGTCAAAGTCAAGGTCACCGTCTCTGTTACTAAAAATAGATCGTGGAGGTTACGGTTCATTTCTCGGAATCTTATTTAAATTTAGCATTGAGATACACTGTGGGTATTTTGATGTGCAATATGTTTTTAAAAAGTTCATGAGGTCAAGGTCACTGTAACTTAAAATAGACCACGAAGTGCGACACTTGTCTGTCAATTGGCCACACGATACACTTATATTGAAATGCTGAAGAATTATAATGAAATATTGAATACTTTTATAATGAAGTATCAGCTTTATTTCTTTGATAATGAAGTATCAGCTTTATTTCTTTGATAATGAAGTATCAGCTTTATTTCTTAGATAATGAAGTATCAGGTTTATTTCTATCATAATGAAGTATCGGCTTTATTTCTTTGATAATGAAGTATCAGGGTTATTTCTTTGATAATGAAGTATCGACTTTATTTCTTTGATAATGAAGTATCAGGTTTATTTTCTTTGATAATGAAGTATCAGCTTTATTTCTTAGATAATGAAGGATCAGGTTTATTTCTATGATAATGAAGTATCAGCTTTATTTCTTTGATAATGAAGTATCAGCTTTATTTCTTTGATAATGAAGTATCAGCTTTATTTCTTAGATAATGAAGGATCAGGTTTATTTCTATGATAATGAAGTATCGGCTTTATTTCTTTGATAATGAAGTATCAGGTTTATTTTCTTTGATAATGAAGTATCAGCTTTATTTCTTTGATAATGAAGTATCAGGTTTATTTTCTTTGATAATGAAGTATCAGCTTTATTTATTTGATAATGAAGTATCAGCTTTATTTCTTAGATAATGAAGTATCAGGTTTATTTCTATGATAATGAAGTATCGGCTTTATTTCTTTGATAATGAAGTATCAGGGTTATTTCTTTGATAATGAAGTATCGACTTTATTTCTTTGATAATGAAGTATCAGGTTTATTTCTATGATAATGAAGTATCAGCTTTATTTCTTTGATAATGAAGTATCAGCTTTATTTATTTGATAATGAAGTATCAGCTTTATTTCTTAGATAATGAAGTATCATGTTTATTTCTTAGATAATGAAGTATCAGCTTTATTTCTTAGATAATGAAGTATCATGTTTATTTCTTAGATAATGAAGTATCAGCTTTATTTATTAGATAATGAAGTATCAGGTTTATTTCTATCATAATGAAGTATCGGCTTTATTTCTTTGATAATGAAGTATCAGGTTTATTTCTATGATAATGAAGGATCGGCTTTATTTCTTTGATAATGAAGTATCAGGTTTATTTCTTTGATAATGAAGTATCATCTTTATTTCTTTGATAATGAAGTATCAGCTTTATTTATTTGATAATGAAGTATCAGCTTTATTTCTTAGATAATGAAGTATCATGTTTATTTCTTAGATAATGAAGTATCAGCTTTATTTATTAGATAATGAAGTATCAGGTTTATTTCTTAGATAATGAAGTATCAGGATTATTTCTTTGATAATGAAGTATCAGGTTTATTTTCTTTGATAATGAAGTATCAGCTTTATTTATTTGATAATGAAGTATCAGCTTTATTTCTTAGATAATGAAGTATCAGGTTTATTTCTTTGATAATGAAGTATCGACTTTATTTCTTTGATAATGAAGTATCAGGTTTAACGTAAATAAATATTTGTTACAATTATAATGAGGCATGTTAGATACCTTAATAATGTAACACTGAAAATCTGTGTCCAGAAAGTGGTTATAGAATTGTCACCTGACCTGGTACCTATTTACAGAAGTTTGTGATATTATCATTCCAGACCAAACCCAGTGTTAAACTACAACCTGCAGACTAGCAATGTCCTACTACAGATTGATGTTATGTGTCTGAAATATCATGTTTTAATATTGTTTTTTCCTCAGGTTGTAACATACGCACATGTGAGTTTGTTGGGGTAGTTTTTAATTGTCTCCAACTTCTACTGAAGGAAGTCAGGGAGATAATGTGGGTTTGTTTATGTCTCAGGGATATTAACTCTAAAAAAATGGATTTAATGTTTTTTATATTTAATTGTCTAATTGAATTAGTACAACTTATTCTTTATTTATTTCAACGTCAATTTTTTTCCCCTGACTTTTCAAATATGATTTTAGTATTTCTTGTCATCAGAGGATATTGCTGAATTCTCCAACATCTGGATCTTTTCAATAGTTTGGAAAATTACTATCATTAAAATATGATTACTAACTTGACAGTGAAAGTGTTATCATTAAAATGTAATTACTAACTTGACAGTGAAAGTGTTATCATTAAAATGTAATTACTAGCTTGAAAGTGTTATCATTAAAATGTTATTACTACCACTACAATGTAATTACTATCATTAAAATGTAATTTCTATGATTAAAATGTAATCACTCACTGTCATTAAAATGTAATTATACTACCACTACAATATAATTCCTACAATTACAATATAATTTCTATCATGAATATCTAATTACTATCATTAAAATGTAATCACTATCATTAAAATGTAATCACTACGATTACAACATTATTTCTATCAGATTATAATGTGTTGCTGGCACACATACACACATGCATGCATACACAACACACATTGAAGCACGGCCTTAATGGACCTTAGCTGTTATTAGGACGTTAAACAAAATTAAACAAAACCAGATCATTACAATGTAATTACTAATCATCAGAATTCAAACAACCTGGACCATTTCTAGGATTAAAATAACCCTGAAATAAGCCAAGACTTTGAACTGCATGTTCAAATATATCTTGAATATGAAAATTTAACTTTCACAATGTGAGAAATGCAAAATTATGAAGTATACCCTCTATTGTTGATTAACTATAATTTTACTATAAAACAAAATCTCTACATCCTTAGAAGCCTGATATTAATTGTTGTAACCCACTAACAATCTAAATCTCGGGATTTCGGGTGGCGCAGTGAATAGCGCACTCGTCTTTTACCAAGAGGGCCGTTGTTCGATTCCTCGGTCAGACATAAGAAACATTTGGGTCACCTGTCTGAATGCGTGGGTTTTTTCTGGGTTTAGTACCAGCATCAATTCAGGGCTTGATGGGTTGAATTTAGTTACTTAATATTTGAATGATTATGGAAATAAATATTAACAAACACTGAAGCAGGTACGTAAATGGTCGGGACTTACAAAGCATGTGGTTGGCAGCGGTTGGTGGTTTAACTTGTTTATTTTGTTTAGCTACTACGTTTGACTCTTTTTTTTCTTTTTTTATAAGGAAGGTTTTTATAAGTAAATAGGACATTTTTCTCTGAGTTATGTTCTGTAATATTTAATGCAAAATCATTCTAACAAGAAACAATCTGTATTTCATTATTTTGTTGTCTGTTTAACTATTTATTTTTTAATAAATAAAAATAGAAAAACAATCTAAATGTATAAAAGGATTATTAATATTTGCAATCAAAGTTCCTGAAACAACTCAATATCTATTACTGTTGTATCGTACTTTCTGTTTCTTTATCGTTTAGAGTTTTCAGTCAACATTATTTATCAATATTCATACCTAATTGTTCCAGTCGTTTTTCTGTTGATAGCAGTTTTATAATTAGTATTTCGGTTTTAATTTTATAATTAGCGAGTAAATCAGGATTTTATTAGTAACTGTTTGTCATATCTCAGTTTAAACTTCACTAATTCCAGAAGAATTGGACAGAAGTAATTCTAATTAATATTTGTATAAATTACAAGTTTTCTGTATAAATATTATTGTTCATGACTGGTCTAGATTTCATTTATCTTGAGCTAAAGTTTATGTATGAAAAATAATTTTAAGCTGTTGATATGGGCTTATATTTCCTGTCTGAATTTGTTATTCACAAACAAAGTATATAAAATGATATTTTGCGATACAATATAACCTCGATATAATGCCCCTCGTTTCACTTGCCACCTCGTTTTTTTTAATAATTCCGTTATACATTTCTCTCAATTTATCGAAAAAATCCCTTTATAATGCCAAGATTTATCTAGACAAATGGCGGCAATATAACGAGGTTTTACTGTATATGTTGTGAAGACAGTTGCTGCCTACAGTTTTAACTTGATTGTGGATTTTTCAGCTTTATAAAGAACACGATTACATTTCAGTATTATAAGTGAGGGCACAATTCCCAAGAAATGCCAAGTTGGGGGCTCAAAGTTCGACCTCATTTACACTGACCTGCGTGGATATCTGCAGATGAAAAAAATACTCACTAGAAAACCGGCTCAGAAATTCCGGTCGGTTCATACTAAAAAAGGGAGCTCCATCTCACCGAGTGAACATTTTCGGTTTGTTCTTGTCGAATGTTGTAGTTGCTCACACTTTTTGATGAAGTTTTATTTGGTCTTTACAGTGAAACCAGACTTTACTGACGTACTTAATATAGAGTGGACAGGTATATTTAGTCAGATACAACAGTGTGTCAGTTAAGACAGGTTTAGAGACAATTAAGGAATCAGGCCTGTTGCAATAACTAAAACAAATCGGTTAAAGATGTCAGTAAATTACGGTTTTACTGTATACGTATGTATTTATTTGTAGTTTATAAAACACGCACAATTTCACCATGCTCAGGGGATTATGTTTTACCAAGCACGTTTGAGGGCGAGGGTTTTTACGAGGAAAGTCTGTCATGTTATCAACACTTAATAGAATTATTACTGGAATAGGAAACCCCTGCCCTTGAGCCCCTCCCTCTACCTCCAGACCTCAGTCCCCCACATACATACACACACTTACAGAAGTAATAAGAAATAATATTACCTGCGTCCTCCCATACAGACAGTTATTGGTGATCAGTCTTTTCAGGTAAAATATGCCCTCAAAGGTTGCTATATATTCCTGCCCCCCTGTATCATCCAAAACAGAGAGTCTGTAAGCTACGTAACTTTGCAACCACTTGATAAATATGATATCAAAAAACAGTAGTCAGTAGTTTCAAATTTTTGAGAGAAATCCTTGTCATTGAAATGTTTGTCATTCACATATATATATATGCAATGTGAAGCATGAAAGTGACCAAAGAAGTTCATTTGCATGTTGCTGGAAAATTCTGATTCTTTTGATTTCAGATGCAGTCATTTCAAGAATGTTTGAAAATGCCAGTAGTGCACCTTTTAAGTTATTTATGATATGTACAAAAGAGCTCACAAACTGATGAAAGAGTATGATATAAATGCCACAAATTCTTCATATGAAACAGTATTCTATAAAAAATGTTTGTTGCCAATGTACTTGCAAATATTGTACTGTTACTATGTTAAAAGCAGATATTCCTTCTGCAGATATTTACTAAATTATACAATCTAAATTACCAAAAAAAAAAAAAGGATTTTTTTTTTAAAGATTCATAAGAAGTGATGTATATATATATAATTACCAGAAATTAGATCAAAAGTGTGTACCATTATAATTAGCTTGGAACACTGACTATTCGGCTTACATATTTACTAATACGTTTTTTCAGTAACTTATTCTCCTCTCGTATGAACGTTTACCCTTTGTGAGCTCTGATGTTGCATTAAACAGTTAGATACGTAGATCTATATATTACTTTTTTAGTTCTCTATTTATCACTGCTCCGCTTGCCTATTTTTTTCTCACATTATTTTATTTTCAGAATTTTATCAAAGCTGCCGGCTGCTAACTCGCCCTGTCAGAGCAGAGCGGACCTGCCTGTTCACATCATATACACAGATATTGTAGGCCTCACTCAATTCAGGAAGCATGTCAAGGGTGGATATGCCAAATTCAGGTACAAGAAGTGACAAGATAGTCCTATAACTTATTATCAGCTGAGATAGGCAGAATTGGCTATTAATAGATATTTGGGAATCACCTTTGAGTTATTCTATTAATAGAAATTAGAAAATCTCCATGATTGCAGTTGTATTGTGCTAAAAAAAAAAATGTGGAAATTACCTTGAAACTCCTTTATTTATAAAAAAAAATCAGGAAAAACTGTATTGTGGTAAACAGTGTTGAAATTCGGTGAAATACCTTGACAATATTCTATTTATAGATCTCCATGAATGTAGTTGTATTGTGCATAAAAAATCCCCAAAAAAAGTTATGGAAATTACCTTGAAATTCCTTTATTTAAAAAAAAAAATCAGGAAAAACTGTATTGTTGTAAAAAGTGTCGAAATTTGTTGAAATACCGTAACCATATTCTATTTATAGATAAAACCTCCAAACTCATTGTATTATCCATGTTTCAAGTGGGTATATACAGCAGTGAAACTGTTAGCAAAATGTTCATTTTAATGGCAGCAATGTCACCGTACATTATACATTATACTTCAGTTGTGTCATTCCATTGACCCTAACATGGAGAATTTATGTTGCAGGGAATTGGGCTGGAATTAGTATAAAAATAGTGGGATTCACCTTTGACATATTCTATTTATAGACATTTTAGAATTATTCTATTTATAGAAATTAGGGAATCCCTTTTTTTCTAAGGATAGAAATTGTAGGAATTATCTTTGATAAATTCATTTATAGAAATTTGGGTATCCTGGTTATTCTTGTATTATGCTTAAAATGGTATCAAAATTGTGGCCTTTCCTGTGATTTGGAAGATTCACATAAATCAGGTATCTCTGTCAGAAATACTTTTGAAATATTGTATTTATGGACATAAGGGGACTATTTTGTAAAATCAGTATGTGTTATTGTACAACAAACATATTTTTTTTACATATGTTTGTATTCAATTTTAAAATCTCATTTCTTTGTTTGTTTCCGAAGTCAGTAAGCATTCTTTCAGCTTTGATAGAATAGAATAGATGTGATTAAATGTTGTTCAGCATTTGATCAAATTTCAAGTTTATGAAAAGAATTTAGGAAGTCAAGTGATCTACTGAATCCATCATTGCCTTCTGTTGAGTTAATAAATAAGCAGGAAACCAATACAACAATTACTTTAGCTGGAAGCTTAATATATTATCTAATTTGGGTTAAACAAATAAACGTTCTTTAACGGTGTTGTAGTACCACTATGAACGACACCAGTTACTAGGAGTAAGTTTATGTGTTGATGTAGAAGGCTTTATGTGTGAGACTTGTAGTCAAGGCCTCCTATTGGACCGGATTCTTTTAGACTAACCTTAATTAGATCCATGAGTGTTGTTTGTTTAAAGTTAAAATAAAAATGTTGGGTTTGTTTCATTAATATTTTCTGTTGATGATTTTAAGCAGTTTTTGTAGGACAAATTGACCGTAAGTCCCTGTATGGCTAAACATACAATGATCCGCCATAGGAATTTTGTAATGATTTTAATATTTTGGTGTTGAAATTTGTTCTGATGGGAAGGAGTCATGGGTAAGTCAAGAACCTTAACTCAATGGAAATTTACTGTCAAAAAAATCTTCAGTCTTTGTCATAAGGAAACTTCACTTGTTGTCAATACAGGCATGTAACACAGCATGGCAAACGTCCATATATGTTACGTACAATCCATGGTTTCCCATTTCCTGTCCGTTGTGTAATATGTCCGTTCCTTATAAACTGTGCTGTAGGTTAGGATTCAGCTCACTCGGTTACACAATGTTTATTTCTAAGGAATGAACATAAAATACCTGTTTTGAGAACACAAGAATGTATTTATACGTTTTCTGCTTAAAGTCGTGAAATGTAATTCTTTTTGTACTGGGAAATCACTAATTTTCGTGGGGTTTGTAATTTTGTTTATTCCGGGGGTACTCATAAGTCATAAGTCCACACAGTAAACACAAGGTTGACATGAAGGTATTTTTCTATATGAGTTGTACACTACCAGTTTTTGTGGAGTACTAGCAATCTGTGAATTCATTCCCACCTAATTGTGTGTCATGAAAACCATGAAATTTGGGCCCCACAAAAATATCTGATTTCACAGTACCTTCGTATTTCTGTTATGAATAATAACTTCAGTAGGACTTCATTTATAATGCAGAAAATTGCTATTGATTACGAACGGAACCCATGGCTTTTAATGAAGGATTGCCATTAATAGATGAAGGGAATCCATTCACTGTAACTGAGGGTTTCTATTAATAGATGAAGGGAATCCTTTTATTGTAACTGAAGGTTTCTATTTATAGATTAAGGGAATCCTTTTATTTTAATTAAAGTTTTCAATTAATAGATGAAGGGAATCCTTTCACTGTAACTGAGGGTTTCTATTTATAGATAAAGGGAATCCTTTTATTTCAATTAAGGGTTTCAATTAACAGATGAAGGGGGTTCTTTTCTTATAACTGAGGGTTTCTATTAATAGATGAAGGGAATCCTTTTGTTGTAATTGAGGGTTTCTATTAATAGATGAAGGGAATCCTTTTATTGTAATTGAGGGTTTCTATTAATAGATGAAGGGGGTCCTTTTATTGTAATTGAGGGTTTCTATTAGTAGATGAAGGAATCCTTTTATTATAATTAAGAGTTGCTATTAATAGATGATGGAAATTCCTGTCATGAATTTAAGGTTTATAGATGAAATATTGTGCCTTCATATTTTATATTGAAAGTTATGTTCTTCTTTTCCTATTCATCTGTCATAGTTTAGCTTATATACATATTCTTTTTTTTTTTCCTTTTTTTGAATAGCGAAAATAGTTAATCACATATACAGGCAAATTTATTAATTTTTTCAGCCTTAAATATAAAAATCGACAGATTATAGAGAAGTTTTTGATTTTGAACTTTGATTCTCCGTGAAGAATAAATTTTAAATACACCATTTAAGCCAACAATTCCATGTTCTAGTCTACTCAGAGTAATAAGTGTGTGGTTGGGCAGTGCTAGTATCGTTAAATGCTAGCTGTAAGCGCCGAAATGGCAGCACCGGCTGTATGCTCTCTAGGGAGTTGAGAAACATATTGGCTGGTTGCAAAGGCCCTATAACCAGGGATAATAATTTGTGAACCGCTTTGAGAAGACCTACAAACTAGATTGTGATAAAGCAGTATATAAGAACCTCAAATTATTATCATTACTATTATTTATTATCTAATGTACAATATAGTGATGACAACATTATTTTTTTGTATATCCTTTAATAGTTTAAAAACGATTATTTGTATATTGGAAGAATCTCAACCCGTACCCCAACCCCACCTTAACCCCCACACCAACCTCTACACCTGATTCAACCTCCACCCCAACCCCAACCCCCAATCCCCAGTGACCACCGTCACAAGTCAAAGACCAATATTTGTGTTCAGGATAAAAAATATTCTAGATTGCCTAAGTTTCATGAACATAAAAATCCAAAGAGTGAGGTGTAATTTTTCCTCTGATTCCTACAGGTTCTGGATTATCGAGAGTCCGGTGTAGACAGGTTACACAAGATTTACTATTATATTGACTAGTTTATAGAAGTGTTCTGATTCCTACAGGTTCTGGATTATCAAGAGTCCGGTGTAGACAGGTTACACTAGATTTTATTATTATATTGACTAGTTTATACAAGTGTTCTGATTCGTACAGGTTCTGGATTATCCAGAGTCCGGTGTAGACAGGTTACACTAGATTTTATTATTATTTTGACTAGTTTATACAAGTGTTCTGATTCCTACAGGTTCTGGAATATCCAGAGACCGGTGTAGACAGGTTATACAAGATTTTATTATTATATTGACTAGTTTATACAAGTGTTCTCATTCCTACAGGTTCTGGAATATCCAGAGTCCGGTGTAGACAGGTTACACAAGATTTTATTATTATATTGACTAGTTTATACAAGTGTTCTCATTCCTACAGGTTCTGGAATATCCAGAGTCCGGTGTAGACAGGTTACACAAGATTTTATTATTATATTGACTAGTTTATACAAGTGTTCTGATTACACAGGGTCCAGTATTGTCACTCTACATTATACAGATTATTATAATACACAGTATTAAATTAGCCACACAACTTTAAACTGTCCATCAAACCACAACATAACCCTTTATTTTCTCAATAAAATTATGTATTCATTGAGAAAAAGTAATTTTTGTTTGTTATTTCGTATGAAATTAAAATTTCCTTACATTCACAAGCTTCCTATTGTTGCAAACAAGGGAAGTTTTTGCCTGCTATGATTTTCATTGCGACATTCGGTGATCAGATAAACACTTGCCATTTACCTCAGTTTTTGCTCATTGCTGCCAATGTCATATTTGCAGATGTTTGAAAAGATCTTCAAATGTGGTACTGTTTCAACTTTTTGCTAATGTCACATTTGCAATGTTTGAAATGTTCATGTTTTCATTTAATTTTCTGTTAACATTCACTGCTGGAGTACCTTTGTTGTTCAGATTGAAACTGACTGATATAACACCTAAAAATATATATACAATGTATTATGGAAAATAACCATGAAGTCAAAAAAAGGGTAAAATGTTAAAAAAGTTTATTTTTAGCTCACCTGGCACGAAGTCGTCGTCCGTCCGTCGCCCGGCGTCAATATTTTACTTTAAACGACTTCTTCTTAATAATCGAAAGGCCTAGGGTGTCGATATTTGGCCAGAAGCAAACTTGGATGAAGTGCTACAAAGTTTGTTAAAATTAATGACCTTCACCTAATTTCAAGGTCACAAGGGTCAAATATGTTAAAAACTTTAAACATCTTCTTCTCAATAACCAAACTGCCCAGGGAGATGATACTTGGTCAGTAGCATGCTGAGATGAAGGGCTGCAAAGTTTGTTCAAATGAATGACCTTCACCCATAATCAAGGTCATAGGAGTCAAATATGCTATAAACTTTAAACAAATTCTTCTCAATAACCAAAATAGCCAAAAATGCCCAGGGTAATGATATTTGGTCAGTAGCATGCTGAGATGAAGGGCTGCAAAGTTTGTTCAAATGAATGACCTTCACCCATATTCAAGGTCCCAGGGGTCAAATATGTTAAAGACTTTAAACAACTTATTCTCAATAACCAAAATGCCCAGGGCAATGATATTTGGCCAGTAGCAGGCTGAGATGAAGGGCGACAAAGTTTGGTCAAATGAATAACCTTCACCCATATTCAAGGTCACGGGGTCAAATATGTTAAAGACTTTAAACAACTTATTCTCAATAACCAAAATAGCCAAAAATGCCCAGGGTAATGATATTTGGCCAGTAGCAGGCTGAGATGAAGGGCGACAAAGTTTGGTCAAATGAATAACCTTCACCCATATTCAAGGTCACAGGGGTCAAATATGTTAAAGACTTTAAACAACTTATTCTCAATAACCAAAATAGCCAAAAATGCCCAGGGTAATGATATTTGGTCAGTAGCATGCTTGGTGAAGGGCTACCAAGTTTGTTCAAATGAATGACCTTCAATTATATTAAAGGTCACAGGGGTCAAATATGTTAAAAACTTTAAACAAATTCTTCTCAATAACCAAACTGCCCAGGGAGATGATCCTTGGTCAGTAGCATGCTTGGTGAAGGGCTACCAAGTTTGTTCAAATAAATGACCTTCACCCATATTCAAGGTCATAGGGGTCAAATATGAGAAAAAATATTTAAACAACCTTCGCAAGTTGCATCCTGAGATGAAAGGCTATACAATGTGTTCAACATAATGACTTTGTTCGACTTTCAATCACAGGGGTGAAATGTTTTAAAAAAATTAACAGGGTCTTTTGAATGAATTTTAATCATAAATACTGATATTTTGCCTGTAGCTTTATTTTAGATCACTTTTAAGGTTACAAGTGTGAGTTTTATACCAGGAGAGCGATGCAGGCCCATTGGGTCTCTTGTTTTAAAATGGGGTTACAATTCATGTTTGGTCTTAGTGAATGGTTTGGGATGTGACGTTTGCTCAAATTTTATTTTGATCACCATGGTTTTACTTTTGAAAACACAACTATTTCATGTCTTTAAAGTTGCTAAAACTTATCCTTTTCCTAGATGTAATTTAAAATGAATTTGTTTGTATTTTCCATGATTTTCAAATATATCACAACTTCGTTATTCACCAAGACTGACTGGAACTGTAAGCTTTGATTAATATTTCAATCATTGTCTTCTAATTTGTTATCTTTTACATCATGTTTATTATCATTTGAGAAAAAAATCAATTATTGTTTGAATAATTATTGTGGATTTTCTTTTATATTAAGCTAGCTAGGTAAAATACACGTGTTGGAGTTTTTTTAAGACTTGTAGACTAAATTGCTAGTATTCAGATTTGAAATAACCAAAAAAAAAAAAAAAGTCTTTAATTAAACATTGTAAATTAATCTAATATTGGATTTAAAATAACTTCCTTAAAATAATTTAATTCATAATTTTATATAAAAAAGGGTCTCAGTTGTCTTAAATGATAAAAATGAAGAAAAAAATAATATTTATTAAGTCAGTTGAAAAAAGAGAAAAGAATTAGTTTGGTGGATAAAGTGAAAATTATAATAAATGTTGCAGATGTATTTAAAACTTAAAATAATATATTTTGATAAGTTGCTGTGTTTTGTTTTGCAGTTGCTTGCTGAGAATAGTTGATTCGTTTGGAACAGAACCAGCGTACAATCACAGAGTGTATGCTAAAGCTCACAAGTTGGTGACGTTCTGGGGCGGTCAGAATCTTCAGCCCCAGCAGTTCTTTACCATGTTTCGTAAGTAATGAAGGGTATTTATTATAATACTACGTCCATCATTCATTCTATAGGGGAGAAGGGAGGTCAGAATCTTCAGCCCCAGCAGTTCTTTAACATGTTTCGTAAGTAATGAAGGGTATTTATTATAAAACTACGTCCATCAGTCATTCTGTAGGGGAGAAGGGAGGTCAGAACCTTCAGCCCCAGCAGTTCTTTACCATGTTTCGTAAGTAATGAAGTGTATTTATTATAATACTACGTCCATCATTCATTCTATAGGGGGGAAGGGAGGTCAGAATCTTCAGCCCCAGCAAGTTCTTTACCATGTTACGTAAGTAATGAAGGGTATTTATAATAATACTACGTCCATCAGTCATTCTGTAGGGGAGAAGGGAGGTCAGAATCTTCAGCCCGAGCGGTTCTTTACCATGTTTCGTAAGTAATGAAGGGTATTTATAATAATACTACGTCGCTCGGACACTGGGTAGGAGAGGGGAAGGGAGGCCAGAATATCCAGCCCCAGCAGTTCTCTTCTGCATGAGAGTGTATGCTAAAGCTCACAAGTTGGTGACGTTCTGGGGCGGTCAGAATCTTCAGCCCCAGCATTTCTTTACCATGTTTCGTAAGTAATGAGGGGTATTTATTATAATACTACGTCAATCAGTCATTCTGTAGGGGTGAAGGGAGGCCAGAATCTTCAGCCCGAGCGGTTCTTTATCATGTTTCGTAAGTAATGAGGGGTATTTATTATAATACTACGTCGATCAGTCATTCTGTAGGGGAGAAGGGAGGGCAGAATCTTCAGCCCCAGCATTTCTTTACCATGTTTCGTAAGTAATGAGGGGTATTTATTATAATACTACGTCCATCACTCATTCTGTAGGGGAGAAGGTAGGTCAGAATCTTCAGCCCGAGCAGTTCTTTACCATGATTCGTGAGTAATGAAGGGTATTTATTATAATACTACGTCGATCAGTCATTCTGTAGGGGTGAAGGGAGGCCAGAATCTTCAGCCCCAGCAAGTTCTTTACCATGTTTCGTAAGTAATGCAGGGAATTTATTATAATACTACGTCCATCACTCATTCTGTAGGGGAGAAGTGAGGTCAAAATCTTCAGCCCCAGCAGTTCTTTATCATGTTTCGTAAGTAATGAAGGGAATTTATAATAATACTACGCCCATCAGTAATTCTGTAGGGGAGAAGGGAGGTCAAAATCTTCAGCCCCAGCAGTTCTTTATCATGTTTCGTAAGTAATGAAGGGTAATTATAATAATACTACGTCGCTCGGACACTGGGAAGGTGAGGGGAAGGGAGGCCAGAATATCCAGCCCCAGCAGTTCTCTTCTGCATGAGAGTGTATGCTAAAGCTCACAAGTTGGTGACGTTCTGGGGCGGTCAGAATCTTCAGCCCCAGCAGATCTTTACCATGTTTCGTAAGTAATGCAGGGAATTTATTATAATACTACGTCGATCAGTCATTCTGTAGGGGAGCAGGGAGGTCAGAATCTTCAGCCCCAGCATTTCTTTACCATGTTTCGTAAGTAATGCAGGGAATTTATTATAATACTACGTCAATCAGTCATTCTGTAGGGGTGAAGGGAGGCCAGAATCTTCAGCCCGAGCAGTTCTTTACCATGATTCGTGAGTAATGAAGGGTATTTATAATAATCCTACGTCCATCAGTCATTCTGAAGGGGAGAAGGGAGGTCAGACTCTTCAGCCCGAGCGGTTCTTTACCATGTTTCGTAAGTAATGAAGGGTATTTATAATAATACTACGTCGCTCGGACACTGGGTAGGTGAGGGGAAGGGAGGCCAGAATATTCAGCCCCAGCAGTTCTCTTCTGCATGCCTGAAAGTTCAGAAATTTATTAGAGCCGTATTTTTTCTTTCATATTATTTTCAATGTGAACTGCTGTATTAAGGGTAAATTTACTAGTACGCTTCAGTAGACTTTACCAGAGAGACAGAACAATTTATCTTCATTATAATGTTTATATTGCTATATATGTTATGATCAGGTGACTTTTTCCACAGCCCACAGCCCTGACAATTCCTTCATGGGATTTCTGGTGGAGCAGCACCTCAATGACAGCCGTGTACAGGACATCAAACGCAGGGACCAGGCCGTAGTGTATGGCAAGCGCGAGTATATGTGGGAGGTATGGCAGTCACCTAATTAGTAGCTCAGTGCTGGTTACATTTCTGTAGAGGTAACTTACCGGTCTGTAGAGATAACTTACCTGTCTGTGAGATAACTTACCTGTCTGTAGAGATAACTTACCTGTCTATAGAGATAACTTACCTGTCTATAGAGATAACTTACCTGTCTGAGATAACTTACCTGTCAGTAGAGATAACTTACCTGTCTGTGAGATAACTTACCTGTCAGTAGAGATAACTTACCTGTCTGTAGAGGTAACTTACCTGTCTGTAGAGATAACTTACCTGTCTGTGAGATAACTTACCTGTCAGTAGAGATAACTTACCTGTCTGTAGAGGTCACTTACCTGTCTGTAGAGATAACTTACCTGTCTGTAGAGATAACTTATGGTACCTGTCTGTAAAGATTACTTACCTGTCTGTAGAGATAACTTACGGTACCTGTCTGTAGAGATTACTTACCTGTCTGTAGAGATTACTTTCCTGTCTGTAGAGGTATACGTAACTTATATTTACTTGGTTCTGTTATCTATCTGCAATGTATAACCAGATTGTAATCTTCTCTAGATCTAATTAAACAAAATAGATTTTATATTTAAATTGTAGTTAAACTTCTTAAACTGGACTGATAATGGCCATGATTGGGATGATCATGGCATATTTTAATTTTCTGTCATATACGTCTTATGAAAATAATATAATGTCTAGTACTTGGTTAAAATATATTTTACAAACAGTATTTACAAAAATATTGCCTTTTCTTGATGATATTTCAAATATTAAGTTTCAAATAAAAACAACTTATGTATAATTATCTCCATTTATTACCTTTTTTAGGGACGACAAAGATATCTGGAAGTTATTAAAAATGCACAGCTGGATATTCATGGAACTGTTTACTTTGACCAACCAAATAACAATACACAGGGGAAAAAGTCCAAGTTTCCCAGCTATGTCACTAACCATGGGTTCCTGAATGGAGAAGATCTTCATTATCTTCTACGGCAGTCAAAGGTAAGGATCTCCATTATCTTCTACGACAGTCAAAGGTAAGGATCTCCATTATCTTCTACGACAATCAAAGGTAAGGATCTCCATTATCTTCTACGACAGTCAAAGGTAAGGATCTCCATTATCTTCTACGACAATCAAAGGTAAGGATCTCCATTATCTTCTACGACAGTCAAAGGTAAGGATCTCCATTATCTTCTACGACAATCAAAGGTAAGGATCTCCATTATCTTCTACGACAGTCAAAGGTAAGGATCTCCATTATCTTCTACGACAATCAAAGGTAAGGATCTCCATTATCTTCTACGACAGTCAAAGGTAAGGATCTCCATTATCTTCTACGACAATCAAAGGTAAGGATCTCCATTATCTTCTATGACAGTCAAAGGTAAGGATCTCCATTATCTTCTACAACAGTCAAAGGTTAGGATCTCCATTATCTTATACGGCAGTCAAAGGTAAGGATCTCCATTATCTACTATGACAGTCAAAGGTAAGGATCTCCATTATCTTCTACGGCAGTCAAAGGTAAGGATCTCCATTATCTACTACGACAGTCAAAGGTAAGGATCTCCATTATCTACTACGACAGTCAAAGGTAAGGATCTCCATTATCTTCTACGACAGTCAAAGGTAAGGATCTCCATTATCTACTACGACAGTCAAAGGTAAGGATCTCCATTATCTTCTACGACAGTCAAAGGTAAGGATCTCCATTATCTACTACGACAGTCAAAGGTAAGGATCTCCATTATCTTCTACGACAGTCAAAGGTAAGGATCTCCATTATCTACTACGACAGTCAAAGGTAAGGATCTCCATTATCTTCTACGACAGTCAAAGGTAAGGATCTCCATTATCTACTACGACAGTCAAAGGTAAGGATCTCCATTATCTTCTACGGCAGTCAAAGGTAAGGATCTCCATTATCTACTACGACAGTCAAAGGTAAGGATCTCCATTATCTTCTACGACAGTCAAAGGTAAGGATCTCCATTATCTACTACGACAGTCAAAGGTAAGGATCTCCATTATCTTCTACAACAGTCAAAGGTAAGGATCTCCATTATCTACTACGGCAGTCAAAGGTAAGGATCTCCATTATCTTCTACGACAGTCAAAGGTTAAGGATCTTCATTATCTTCTACGACAGTCAAAGGTAAGGATCTCCATTATCTTCCATGACAGTCAAAGGTAATGATCTCCATTATCTAATACGGCAGTCAAAGGAAAGGATCTCCATTATTTTCTACAACAGTCAAAGGAAAGATCTCCATTATCTACTATGACAGTCAAAGGAAAGGATCTCCATTATCTTCTACGACAGTCAAAGGTAAGGATCTCCATTATCTACTACGACTGTTAAAGGGAAGGATCTCCATTATCTTCTACGACAGTCAAAGGTAAGGATCTCCATTATCTTCTACAACAGTCAAAGGTAAGGATCTGCATTATCTTCCATGACAGTCAAAGGTAAGGATCTCCATTATCTTCTATGACAGTCAAAGGTAAGGATCTCCATTATCTTCTATGACAGTCAAAGGTAAGAATCTCCATTATCTTCTATGACAGTCAAAGGTAAGGATCTCCATTACCTTCTACGACAGTCAAAGGTTAGGATCTCCATTACCTTCTACGACAGTCAAAGGTAAGGATCTCCATTATCTACTACGACAGTCAAAGGGAAGGATCTCCATTATCTTCTATGACAGTCAAAGGTAAGGATCTCCATTATCTTCTATGACAGTCAAAGGTAAGATCTCCATTATCTTCTACGACAGTCAAAGGTAAGATCTCCATTATCTTCTATGACAGTCAAAGGTAAGGATCTCCATTATCTTCTATGACAGTCAAAGGTGAGGATCTCCATTATCTTCTACGACAATCAAAGGTAAGAATCTCCATTATCTTCTACGGCAGTCAAAGGTAAGGATCTCCATTATCTTCTATGACAGTCAAAGGTAAGGATATACAATTTGGATTATAGAAATGTTTACTGTTGGTTTTATTACTTGATGTTTTGTGTTTTGTAACTGTTCCCTATTATTTTTGTCAGGCCTGATATGACTTAAACATTGCTGAGCCATAAAGCAACTTACAACATTTATTAAAAAATCTTAAAACTGTATTACAAGATGATAAAACTCATTATGATAGTGATCAATTCTTCGACCAATCAGCTTAGATTTTGTGTAATGAATATGACGATTTGTAATTTTATTTGTTATTTTTAGATATTTGTAGGGCTTGGGTTCCCGTATGAGGGTCCGGCGCCTCTGGAAGCAATAGCCAACGGATGTGTGTTCATCAACCCGCGATTCAAGCCCCCCCACAGCAGCAAAAACACTCCCTTCTTCAAGGGCAAACCTACTCAGAGACAGGTACAGTTCATAGGTCAAATGTAAGGTCAAAGTTTACATGTTGGATGTCTAATGTTTGGTACAGGTGTCTTGCTGGCTGTTTCAGTAAATATTGCTGTGACATTTGTAGACAGATATATCTATCATAAGCAACGGCTGAGTATATGAAACTGAAATATCTGAACATTTTGTGTCGATAACTGAAAATTTTATGTGAAATATTAACCTCCCCAATTAGTAGCTTTGTCTCTGAAAGTGAGTAAAGTAAAACAGTTGTCTATATCAATGATGTTTTGGGAAATTAAACCCTGTAAATTTGAAACTAGGGAAAGTTTGGACACCATAAAAGGAATGTGCTATGCAATTTATTTAAAACAATTACTAAAAAAAGAGATTTTTTCATTCATTTCAGGTTTGAAGAATCAACTATGTATACCAAATATTGAGAATATTGTTAATTTAATTAGGCACATAACAATCAACCCAGATTTTTCTGTTGGAAATTATGATGTTTGTAAAAGGAAGAGTTGGAACTTAATTATCACGGCCGAGATTTCTGAACCAGGTGGTGCAGTGGATAGCGCCCTCGCCTTTCACCAAGGCGGCCGAGTTTGATTCCCCGATCGGACGTGAAAAGGTTGGGTCACCTGCCACACTACATGGGTTTTCTCCGGGTACTCTGGTTTCCACCCACGCTAAGACCGAGCCTGACCCCCTGCACGCTTACAGCCGGGCCAGCAAGAGTGATTAATATATGTTGAAATAACTTGTTTCATAATTGTTGTAAAATCAATAAAGTTTATATTGATAACCCAGGTGGTTTCAGATTGATAATATTGAGAGTTTGGTGTTACAGGTAACAAGCCAGCATCCCTACACAGAACAGTTTATAGGAGAACCCTATGTTTATATTTGGTGTTACAGGTGACTAGACAGCTGTACGCAGAGCAGTTTATAGGAGAACCCTATGTTTATGTTTGGTGTTACAGGTAACTAGCCAGCATCCCTACACAGAGCCGTTTATAGGAGAACCCTATGTTTATGTTTGGTGTTACAGGTAACTAGCCAGCATCCCCACACAGAGCAGTTTATAGGAGAACCCTATGTTTATGTTTGGTGTTACAGGTAACTAGCCAGCATCCCTACACAGAGCAGTTTATAGGAGAACCCTATGTTTATGTTTGGTGTTACAGGTGACTAGCCAGCATCCCTACACAGAACAGTTTATAGGAGAACCGTATGTTTATGTTTGGTGTTACAGGTTGTACTGGTAACTAGCCAGCATCCTTACACAGAGCCGTTTATAGGAGAACCCTATGATTATGTTTGGTGTTACAGGTGACTAGACAGCATCCCTACACAGAGCAGTTTATAGGAGAACCCTATGTTTATGTTTGGTGTTACAGGTGACTAGACAGCATCCCTACACAGAGCAGTTTATAGGTGAACCCTATGTTTATGTTTGGTGTTAAGGTGACTAGCCAGCATCCCTACACAGAACATTTTTTAGGAGAACCGTATGTTTATGTTTGGTGTTACAGGGGACTAGACAGCATCCCTACACAGAGCAGTTTATAGGAGAACCCTATGTTTATGTTTGGTGTTACAGGTAACTAGCCAGCATCCCTACACAGAGCAGTTTATAGGTGAACCCTATGTTTATGTTTGGTGTTAATGGTGACTAGCCAGCATCCCTACACAGAACAGTTTTTAGGAGAACCGTATGTTTATGTTTGGTGTTACAGGTGACTAGCCAGCATCCGTACACAGAGCAGTTTTTAGGAGAACCCTATGTTTATGTTTGGTGTTGCAGGTAACTAGCCAGCATCCGTACGCAGAACAGTTTATAGGAGAACCCTATGTTTCTATTTGGTGTTACAGGTTCTACTTGTAACTAGCCAGCATCCTTACACAGAGCAGTTTATAGGAGAACCCTATGTTTATGTTCGGTGTTACAGGTAACTAGACAGCATCCCTACACAGAACTGTTTATAGGAGAACCGTATGTTTATGTTTGGTGTTACAGGTAACTAGCCAGCATCCCTACACAGAACAGTTTATAGGAGAACCCTATGTTTCTATTTGGTGTTACAGGTTCTACTGGTAACTAGCCAGCATCCTTACACAGAGCCGTTTATAGGAGAACCCTATGTTTATGTTTGGTGTTACAGGTAACTAGCCAGCATCCGTACGCAGAACAGTTTATAGGAGAACCCTATGTTTATGTTTGGTGTTACAGGAGACTAGCCAGCATCCCTACACAGAACAGTTTTTAGGAGAACCCTATGTTTATGTTTGGTGTTACAGGTGACTAGCCAGCATCCGTACGCAGAGCAGTTTTTAGGAGAACCCTATGTTTATGTTTGGTGTTACAGGTAACTAGCCAGCATCCTTACACAGAGCAGTTTATATGAGAACCCTATGTTTATGTTTGGTGTTACAGGTGACTAGCCAGCATCCCTACACAGAGCAGTTTTTAGGAGAACCGTATGTTTATGTTTGGTGTTACAGGTAACTAGCCAGCATCCCTACACAGAACAGTTTATATGAGAACCCTATGTTTATGTTTGGTGTTACAGGTGACAAGCCAGCATCCCTACACAGAACAGTTTATAGGAGAACCCTATGTTTATATTTGGTGTTACAGGTGACTAGCCAGCATCCGTACGCAGAGCAGTTTATAGGAGAACCGTATGTTTATACCATTGATATCAATAACCTCAACGAAGTCAAAGACACAGTCGCCAAAATTCTGGAGAATAAAAAGGTACGGTTCCTCTTCTTCCTCCTCCAGTTTCGATAGAACTTAGAACTTTAGTAGGAAATATAGTGTTTGTGGTAGGAAATTAGGTCTTGGTAGGAAAATTGAACTTTCGTTTTAGACATCAGGAATTTGGAGTGGGAGTCAGACCTCTGATTGGTAATGGTAGTTCTTTGTTTCCGTGGCAATAGGGAAGTTTAAGATGAGATGAGGGAGTTTTGTTATTGTATCGTAGGTAACTGTGTAATGTACTTACAGTCGCGCTCCATTTATCCACAACCAACAACCTGGGTGTCCTTTCAGTGTTAACACAGACCAATTCTATGAAAAAATTCAGAGTGAATAAATCCAACTGTCTCCGGATCCAGCCACTGTAACTATGATAGCTGGATTGTTATACCCCCTGCAACGAAGTTAGAGGGAGTATACTGTAATTACCCTGTCTGTATGGATGTCTGTTGTGCACAGTAACTTGTCCGGAAAACTCGTTCTTAATTAACAGGCAGATTTTATTGAAACTTCACTTGAATGATCAGTATATTATGTAGTTGTGCACCGGCATTTTAATTTCAGATTTCAACACTTTTTAAGGGAGTAACGGTTGTTTATGCAAAGTATCTTGTCAGGAAAACTCCATCTTAATTAACAGGCAGATTTTATTGAAACTTTGCTTGAAGAATAAGTGTTTCATGTAGTTGTTCACGGGCATTTCATGGATTGCTTTGCAATACTTCGCCTTAGTTAGCCTTTATCTTATAGTTCTAGTTGATATGGGAGCAGGGGGTATTAGGTAAAAAAAAACTTGCCAATCACTAGGCTGAAGATTACAGAGGAGAGACATCTGACTTTTAAGCCAGTATGTTTTACCATTACGCGACCGACAGATTCTTTTGATGTACATCAAAAGGATCAAACTAGTCTTCACGTGTCATCCCCAAGGGTGGTGCACACTGAGCTTTTGATTTTGCCATGACATATTCCAGGGGTGTAGGGAGTTTAAAGGGAGCGTAACCCCTGGATATGGAGGATGATTCCAGGGGTGTAGGGAGTTTAAAGAGTTTGTAACCCCTGGATATGGAGGATGATTCCAGGGGTGTAGAGAGTTTAAAGAGTTTGTAACCCCTGGATATGGAGGATGATTCCAGGGGTGTAGAGAGTTTAAAG